TTAAGAATCAGGTTTCGGGCGCCATTCTTGTTTGAAGGAATTGATTTTTTTGAAATTTTTCGAAGTTTTCTGAACTTCTCTCTATTTTCTTTCTTGGCGCTTTCTTTGCTCCTTTCTGATTGACAGTTTTATTACCTTTTTTTTTAAGTTTTTTTTCTTAGGGGGGGGTGGGAGCGGGGGGGGGCGGAGGGGGGGGAAGGAATCCATTATCATGATCAACATGAGGAGGGGACAAGTTTACTATCTGGCGGTATGCAATGTCTTTTCACTCTCCCTTTTTTTTTGTTCATAAACAAAAATTTGGACGAATACCAACGTGCCTAGCTCTGTTGGTACGCACATGAACTGTTGAAGTACAGACCCAAGTTCGAATCAAGATGCAATCAGATGAACATACTTAACTACTTAACTTTAAAAAAAAGGCAAAACAAAGAAAAAAAAAAGGCGTCGATTTATGCGTGGGATCCCTGTGCAGGGGCCATGCTAAACTTCTCTGTATTGTTCCAGTTTAACAGATGCGCCCTTTTATTTGTTAAACCATCGGTACACAATGACCCTTCCCTCGCCGAGCCGAGAAATGCCGTTTCTTGCGCGGCAAAGAAAAAACAAACCAGTGCGTTTTCTTTTTTCTTTTTTGGGTGGCGCCACCACCCATTTAGCTCCTGTAGACCATGCCCCAAAATTCACAGCGCATTGACAGCCAGGTCGGAGAAAAAATGTTTGGGAAACGTATTGGTGGTTTAAGTGTTTTGCTGATGGGATGAGCATAGCAATCAATGCAAGATATTTGTGTCATTTTTTGCGTATTATCGTCACACAAGGTACAAACCCCTGCCCTTCTTTTTCTCCTCCTCCTTTCGCCCTCCTCTTCTTTTGCACCTGTTCTTCCTTTGCCCTGCTCCGTCATTCTACCCACTCCTTCCGTCTCCCATTCCTTTGCCCCTCCCTCCATCTCTCCTTCTTTTGCCCTCCCTCCTTCCTTCTCCCCTTCCAGTCACTCCTCTGCCTTCCTTCCCCCCTTTTTCGTTTGCATCGTGCCCACCCTTTCTTTCCTCCCCCTCTCTCTCCCTCCACTCCTCCTTTTATCCCCCTTCGTCTTTGTCCCATCCCGTTCCTCCACCAACTTCCCCCCCCTCCCCCCTCCTTCCCGTGTCTCCTTTGTTTCCCGTCCCCTTGCTTCTCCCGTTTGCCCTTCCGCGCCTTCCTTCCCCTCTCTTCCCCCTTTCTCCCCTCCTCGCTCTCCTTCCTTCTGCCCTACCCCCCTTCTTTTCTCCATTTGCCACTCTCCTTCCTTCTAAGCCCTCTTTCTTCTCCTCCCTCGCCACCTTCATTCCTTTCTTTCCCTTCTGTCCCCTGTCGTTCCTCTTTTTCTCCCCTCCCTTCCTTCCCCCCCCCCCCCCTCATTCCCTCCCTACCTTCTGCCCCCCCTTCCTTTCTCCTCCTTTCCTTGCTTCCCCAGCTTCCTCTCTTTCTTCCCACGCTTGTCATTCGCCTCCCTGTCACCTGTCTCTCACTTCTCCTTCTCCCCTCTTGCTCCCTCCTTATTACACCTCACCCCTATTGATCCCCCTTCTCACTGTTGTGCACTAGCTGCCAGCTCTCCAACACCTTCGTTCTCTTAAATCTACAACAACAATGTGCTCCCATGTGCAGGTAGGGTTTTTATCAGACGAGCGGCGAATGAATGTGGCGGTCACGAGAGCACGTCGGCATTGTGCAGTGGTATGTGACAGCGATACAGTCGGAAAGAACGCGTTCCTGAAGCGTATGGTTTCCTACTTCGAGCAGCATGGAGAATACTTGAGTGCAATGGAGTACCTGAGCGCCTGATTGTTATACACATGCTCAATTATGACCTAGCGATGCATGCTTGAGTGCGACGGACTCCTGCAGCCAATGTCTTTCTCGTGTCCGCGCGCATACAACCTGAGCATTTCTTCTGTGAGCAGCATGGAGAATATGTAAGTGCAATGGATGGAGAGCACCTGAGCACCTGACTGTTATAAACGCGCTCAACTCTGGCGGGGATGCATGCTGAAGTGTGACCGACTGCTGAAGCCAAAGTCCTCCTTGAGTCCGCTTGAGCACGACCCAAGTGTTTCTTTCACGTCAGCAGAGATATGAAGAAGGGTCATGGTCGCCGCTGTTTGGAACGAAGTGTGATGCAAAGCAGTATTCTCTGTGAGATATAAAGCCCCATTTTTTAGTATTTTTAAATCTTTGATTAACTTGATGTGTATCTCGCATATGGTGGAGTATTCCAGCACATCAGTGCAATAGAGTATGAACAGGAGTACTGCCCCAGTGAGTGTTCCCTAGCGTAGCGGAATTACTAGAGAGTCGAAGCGTAGATCAGACACAGTGTAGTGGGTGAGCTGCTTTTTTAAGTGCACTAGAACCGAAGTACTTATTTTTTTGTTTTTTCGCTTTCTTAACTGTGATGGGATAGGACAGTCACGTCTCTGTCGCTCTGCTGTAGGCAACTATTGCACTCATTGCTGGATTTGGTTAGTTGGACCTATATAAAATATATATATATATATAATATTATATATGTAGTTGTAGAAAGTACTAGAAACTACTCTATGCTTCATGTCACGTCCAGCGGATAAAGTTTGGGTCATTCTCCACCGCTGCAGATTTTGTCCATTTTCACCATCAGCCCACAGGCATGACACCAAAAACGAATCTATCAGAAAGCGGTTTCTTCAGAAGAGCAGGTTTCATTCATTGACAGAGTCCTCAGATGGTGGAGCATGAATGAGCAAGTGAGTCAGTATGATGATGATGATGAGCATTGATGACGATGATGATGTGTGTGTGTGTGTTGTGTGTGTGTGTGTGTGTGTGTGTGTGTGTGTGTGTGTGTGTGTGTGTGTGTGTGTGTGTGTGTGTGTGTATCATGATACGCATTGCACTAAGTGTATCATGATACGCATAGCACTTAGTGCTAAGGAACTCCATGGCAAGCCATGGCACGACAGTCTATCCATGACCCAGTATCCGCATCAGGACTCACTAGCTCATTCTCGGTACATGTTTTGAAAAAAAATTGGTATGCTGCATATCCTGGTTAATTTCAAGAAAAGAAGAGAAAGGAACAATAACGCAATTCATAGAGAGTTCCATCTTTTTTTTCTTTTTTTTTTTTCAGATATTCGTTACTGCAAACATGAAGAGGGTAATAAATTAATAATAATAACAATAATAATAAATAGCAAGTGAGCCAGCATATATACAAATGTTATGTTTTGACAATATATATATTTATTTTGTGTACGAGTCGAGCAATCCAAGCACCCAAGGGAAACCTACGTCAAGCTCATTATGGAACCAACTTGTCGGGATGGAGTGTGGTATGGACTGTGGATAGGTAGAGGGTGAGGCGGATTTCTAGAACACAGGCAGTGAGGGCTAGCCAGGTGGATTTCGGGGGCGGGGCGACGCAACTCTGGGCAAGAATCCAGCACGTTAATCTCATGACTCAGTGCATAGTTCGCACGGGAGAGTTTGCCGACATCCTCTCGGTATTCATCACGTTCCGTTAGTGATTGTCGGGGGTGGGGCGACGCAACTCCGGGCAAGAATTCGGATCGTAGCACGTTAATCTCATCACTCAGTGTATAGTTCGCACGGGAGAGTTTGCCGACGTCCTCTCGGTATTCATCGCGTTCCGTTAGTGATCGTCTGTGAAGATCGGAAAGTTCCTCACACCAGCCTAGGATTTCCCTGTGTTTATGACATATTCTTGAAAATACCGAGGCAGTCCATCCCGTGACATGATGTGACATATTCTTGAAAATACCGAGGCAGTCCATCCTGTGATGTCGGGGTCACTCTCCCCACGTCTGATGAGGAAGCAGTTAACTATAGCTATGTCCCTCTGTACGTCCCGGATGTTTTCTTCAATGAAGTCTGGAAGAGCCATTGTGTTGCTGTCTATATCCCAGAGTATGGTTGGGGGACCAGATCTTAAAGGATCCAGAAGCAGGTAATGGATTATTTCTTCGATCCGGGAGGGTGGTCGGTTACAGGTAGGCAAGGGAGTGGGGACAGTAGCAGAGGTAGAGAATAGGAGGAACAGGAGGGGATAAATAGGACATTCTACATCATGTGTGAATAGAAGGAAGAGAGAAAGGTAATCAAGGACGTTCGTGTGAGATAATATGAGAAACGTATTGGAGTGTAAAGAAGAAGTAGGTGATGATAATCGTACAGTCAGGGAGTCTCATTTGTAAAGCCCATCCTTAAGTTTCCTTATTTCCCTAATTCGTGCTACGAAATATACGGGCATCTGCGATAATCACGAGTCACATGCTATACTAAAAGACTGTCGCTCTCCATGGCTATCATTTTCCCGTATTCTTATGAGGCATATATAGTATATAGTATATACCTTTCTATGGATAATCGATCATACATCTCAAAAAAGAATGGAAAAAGAATGCATCTAGTCATAAATGCATTCATCATTCTTTTACCGTGAACATCTAGTCATAAATGCATTCATCATTCTTTTACCGTGAAAGAATGGAAAAAGAATGCATCTAGTCAGCTCTCGGTATTCATTCATGGTAAAAAAATGGATCAGTCAAAAAAGATGCAGGTTCCTTTTAGAAACCATGCATCATTGATAGGGTCCTTGTACCCCCCAATGGGTGCGCAAGCTGTCCCGACTTCACTGAGTATGGTAGGGGGAAGCGATTCCGAAAGTAGGAGGCATGACTAGATGGACAAGGAGATCAATCGAAGCGGGGGGCCAAGTGAGGAGAAATCCGGGAATGAGGGGTAGCATCATCCATTCACCAGGGAAGAGCGTGAGCAACAGAGGGAAGCCTTGGCCATGGGTAGAATGAAAAATGTGTGAGTGATGGTTTAGGAGAGTTTCCCCAGACAAGCAATTGAGAAGAACTCTTGAGATCGTATCGTGCTCCTGCCGGTGACTCCGATTGTCATGCTATTAATGATATATCGATAGAGAAGCCGTTGCAAGCACCAAAGGCCTCAGTCGGTCCGTGTGTCTGTCATAACAGGGAACTGAGTGTGAGGTTAAAAAAAGCAAGGTGATCGAACCCGGATGATGGTTCGAACGAGGGGACGTACTCCCCTGTTATCTTATAAATCCCATGTCTCACCGGGAATATCCCCACTTCCCCCACTACTACTAGGTGAAGAAGTTATTCCGAACCACTAGTACTGATGGGGGAGAAAGGAAAGGGATTGTAGGATGACTGAGCAAGGAACAAAATAATGTCATCAAGAGGAGATAACTTGAGGGAAGACGCAAGCCAAGCTTCAGATGGACTCGATCAACAGAAATGAGTGACAAAAGAGTGGAGAATGCTCCGACGAAAAAGTATGGGCAACTGATCGTAGTCATCATGTATCTTCAATCCCTTCACACTTCCGTCCAAAAAAATGACAAAGGCAGATAACTGGTGAAATGGACACAAGTCAAGAAGAAAGATTCGATTAATGGGAGCAAGCAAAAAAAAATGGAGGATGCTCCGAAACCAGCATCAGTGCATTGACCAATGTCACGAAGAATCCACAATCCCTCCTCAATCACCTCCCTGGTCACGCCTTCAATCCAGTGTTATTACACCTGGAGAGATCCCGCCCCTCATTTTTCCGAAACAGAAACCATCATCACGCTATCTCCCCATTGTCCCCGTCAGAATTGCCCCCGCGGCTGCTGCAGATGCCCAACCCTCCCCCTATATCCATCCCTTTATTAGATTAAACATGCTGATGGACCTAAGTATATCTCAATCTCAGTCTGTATAAGGGACGCTGGACCCGTTTTCCAGCAGGTGGATGAATGCTTTTGGAGGTGTAATTCGGCCGAACGCAGACTGAGGATACGGCCAGGGTGGGAATTAAGGTGGTATCCATAGATGCGCTCTGATCTAGTGACTTTGTGGAAATCTTAGTCGCTGATACAGAACATCTATGGAACAGTAGCTGTCTGATAACACCCTTCCTTTTTTTTTTTTTTTTTTTTTTTTTTTAGCCCCTATGGATAGGCTCCCCCCCTTTTTTTTTATGGCCAGCCCCCCCCCCCGTCTTCCGCCGGAATCACAAATACGCCCGCCATCCCATGTGACCTCGTAGAAGCACAATGTATCAGCAATCTCCGACAGTTCTTCCCTCCGGTTCCACGGTATACCACCTATGTAAGTTAACCATACTGTCCACGGCGACTTCCACGTAAAGTATTCTTATCGGAGAGCAAAAGAGTGTGGGGAAGAGAGAGAGAGAGAGAGAGAGAGAGAGAGAGAGAGAGAGAGAGAGAGAGAGAGAGAGAGAGAGAGAGAGAGAGAGAGAGAAGAAGAGAGGGAGGGAGAGAGAGGGGAATAGAGAGGGACAGAGGGGGAGAGAGAGGGGGGAAGGGAAGGGGGGGAGGGGAAGGGAAAAAAAAGGTAGGGCGAAAGCGGCGGAAAAAAACTCAACGGTCCCTTATACCGATAGCCGAAATCATATCCTATCCCCGAGGAGAGAGAGATGGTGGAAAGAGGAGAAAGAGGAAGTCTCTACGGGGGATCTAGCAGAGAGGACCTTTTTGGTGGTGATAAGACTCCATATGCCGTCTGGTCCCAATGAGCATGACACAGGATGCAAAGGGTGGGGTACATAAGCAGACAAGGCAGTCTTGGATCGGAGAGTGGTTCCGCACGATAGGAAGACGGGCAGCAATAGCAGGCAGGGTGTGGCTGTCCCTAAAAGCTTTTTCGCCGTTTGCCACCTTCCGGCTCATCAGAGGGATTTGTTAGAACCTGCAATCATAAAGTCAACAAGCCCACATCCTTCCAACATATCCAAAACAGGCAACATGGGCGGCTGGGAAGAGACTATACCGCTTCGTCCTCGCTTTGCTCGGACGCAAGGTCGGCGTACAGAAAGTTATCGAAGTCCAAGCCAGCCATAGCAGAATGCAGCACTCTCCGTCCAAAAAAAGCCTCTCAATCATGCAATTCAGAATAACACAACCGTAACTGGGATAGCAGATGAGAATGCCCGGGGTAACCAAAGTATTTATTTGAATAGTCGAAGTGGTGGTGGTGCGCGTGGCAACCGTTGATCTACTAGCATTAATCGCTAGGTAGTGTTGGTCTCGATAGCACCGAGGCTTCCTTTGAATGATACTGTTTATTAGCCGTACTACGGCCATTTCGTCAAAATGAACATTTTTTATTTTTTGAACGAAATTGAAACCGAGTTTTTTGGCCGAAAACTCGTCAAAATTTGTTGTTCCTGAGGGTCCGGCGTTTTACAAACGCTGGACCCCCTGCCTGTACATGGACCTAGCTGGAGACCAGGCACCTCCAGGCAGTCCTGCCTGGAGGTGCCTGGTCTCCAGCTAGGTCCATGTACAGGCAGGGGGTCACAGCACATTTTGACGAGTTTTCGGCCAAAAAACTCAGTTTCAATTTCGTTCGAAAAATTAAAAATGTCCATTTTGACGAAATGGTCGTTGTTCGATAAGGGCGGATCGGAGGACCAGTCTCAGGGCAGCCTATAGGGTCCACGATGTTACCCCAGGTTAGGCTTTTTTTTTTTCTTCTTTTTTTTTTTTTTAACACCCCCCCACCAGTGCTGCTGGTAACAGCAGACACCACTAACACCT